TTTTCCGATCTTGTCCCCCTCTTCGTGTCCGTCGCTGGTTCCAGTGGCCTTGTCAGCCATCAGACCCGATGCTTGTTCATGATCCCGTCGACTATCGTCGAAGTAGGCGCTACCGTAGCCATCGCAGTGGGTTGGCCGGAGGAGGTTCATCGCCGGGGCCATAGTCTCATATTGATGATAGTGGTCAACCAACCTTGGAATCCTTTGGTGATGAAAGTGTTAAGATGGAAGTCATAGAAGAAGCTAGGGTTAGCATACACCAAAAGCGTATGACAAATGATAATTAAGCCATGGAGGAAGGTGAAGCATAGAAATATAGAAAGAATACCTACCTGATCCTCTTCTGTCTCTCTACAAATTCCTTGAAGTTTGTCACTTAGCTAAGGAAATGAATTCTGTAGAGAGAGAGAGAGAATTCACTAACAATCTACTAGAGGATCACAGAGGGGGGAGAGCCTTGAGATCTCACTTTCCATTGATTCCTTGTGCCTGAGAAACGAAGAGAGAGAGAGAGAGAGAGAGATGACTTGTGGCTGATGTGTTAGAATTCTCACCTCTTTCAACTGAGGCCACAGAGAAGAGGCAGGGTAGTAATATCTGACCATCCATTGATTCCTTGTGCTGCACATAGATAGATAGATAGATAGATAGATAGAGAGACAGAGAGGTTAATATAAATATATATTATATATCATGGTGTGCATCTAAAAAGTCCATTCAGTTGGGTCATGCACAAGTAAGTACTTTGTTTAAATAGACAATCATATACACATTTAGAATGTCTGCATGTCATTATTTATATACCTCTTGGAGATCATACTTGGTGTGATTCCCAATACTAATAGGAGAGAGAGAAGCATGCCTGCTTTGCTGCGTACCATCCTGCTGTGTCCACATAGATCGAGTATAAGCATTGACCAACTTATATATACATATATATATACATATATACATATGTATATATATGATATATGATATATGATACATGATCATCATCAGGTTCCAGATATGAGAAATAGTGTTGTTATGTCCTTGGAAAAATATAATGAGAAGATGAATGAGCTGTTATGATCTATATGACTAAATAATTCCCACATTCATTCAACATGCACTGCACGTTAAAACGTTGGCACACTCTTTAGCGATGATCTAATTAATCATCACAATACTGGAGTTTCAATTTATATCCATTGCCTTGAACTATTTTTTTTATCTATCACCATAAATGAGATGTCATGCCAACCACTAACAACATCGTTATGATGTTGTTGTCTATTACAAGTACGTACTCGGCAACAAGCACTTCAATGATCACCAACTCTTCATACCACACATATCAATGGTCACGGATGTCACTGTGTTTGTGTGTAGAGAGAGAGAGAGAGAGAGGGAGGATTTGCAGTTTGATGTGGACAACTAAGGTAGCGTTGTCTTCTTAAAGAATGATGGATAGTTTCGAGCGTCGCCCAAGAAATAGTGTGCTGGCAAAGGAAATTTAGAGAGACAAAGTGGAGGATTTGCGTGGAGGAAGGAATGATGAGTGTGAATCCGTGCCTGATGAGTTGGTGTCCAGACTCGGGAGCGTCCCTTTACTCATCGGTCACAGTGGAGATGCCTCTGCAGCAGAGACATGGTGGGCCTCCCATCCATCGTCCCTTGCTTTGTAGTAAGCTTTGGATACGCCATGCCAAGCCATGCACACACCTAAGCAGATGACTTCTCCCTTTCAAGAAATGTTGTCTTATGCAGTAGTAGTGCATGGAGATTGAGATCAACGAGGCGATCGAATCGATCACCAAGTGGTTTCATAGAACTGGAGTTGTTGCTGTTCTTGACGGCAACTCAAACGTGCATGCAATGGGTTCTTATTAGTACGTGATTACATGTAAAGTTAAGGAGATGATCGATAGTTCCTTAAGTCTCTTATACTTGGAAGCCGTCAATTATTATCATTATTATTTCTTCAATTTTTGGCCATCAAGATAAAGAAGCCGGAAGAGAAAAGAGGTACATGGCTGTGGCTTCTCTCCTCCATAGAAGGTTTTTATGTTAGGAGTGTATCAGCACGAGTGCCAATGCTGCTGCTATTGATATGTGCCTGCAGGTAGAGAGGACGAAGGAACGTGGGGTTTCATTAAACTCTTGTGGCCATATAGTGGATTAGTACTGCATTGCTAACTGGATCACACACATCCTTCCTAAGCATGCAGTATATTGTACCATGCATATCGATGTTCCACAAGTGCACAATAACTCGATAATACGTGAATTAACAAAGTAGAAGAGAGAGAGAGAGAGTTGGCTGATGAGTTCTTTTGAAGGTGTCAGTGGCTCCATCAATCAGACATCAACTTGAGCCACTGCACACAATCCATTGACCGAGCTTTGTATCCACATTGTCCAGTGGAAAGCGAGGTCCAAAAGAGAGAGAGAGGTTGTAGGAGGAGGAAAAGAGAGGATCCTTTTCCTCCTGTTTCTTCTGCGCCACCGCCACGAGCAGCAGCAGCTTATGATTAAAAAGCTGAGGATGCCAATTCACGCGACACTCTCGCCTTGGGTTTTTGGGATCCCTTTGGCAGAGGGCATCTGCTGCTGCCAAAGCCACCAAAGCCAACGCTGCAGCCAAGGGATCAGTGATGGGACTTGACCTGCTTGGCTTCTTCTCCCTCCTCTCCTGCATGGCTCCTCTTCCTTTGCCCCTTTTGGTCCTCATGCAACTTGGAACTCCACACACCGAAGCCAGCATTTGTAAGACTGATAGATAGATAGATAGATAGATAGATGAATTGACATATATAATATATATATATACTCATTACTAACTCCATTCTCATGCCACGATCTACAGCTACGTAGCTAGGTCGACATCATGACTCATTATTGCCAAAAGATATGCTTGCAGTGTCCCCCATTCCAGGAAAGCTCACTGTTCGCAGGCGAGCAGGAAATGCTACTGATCTCACCAACCCTATTGGCTTTAGCAAGTACGTACTGCTCTCTGCATGCAGCGCATGACTGCATGCATGGGTGCAGCCACTAGTTTTTAGCGCTTTGCAGCTCATTGCCGTAAGTTCCTTTGGACCTGACAAGTGTATATGCTGCATGATTCCTGCATCTTTGAATTGAAGTTGGCTTGGATGTTCAAAAGCTGTACATACACATTCTAGCCATTAGTTAAAACTCTCATATACGATACAACTAACACAAGTAGGATTACCATCAGATCATCCATATATGATAAAGTGATAGAAAAAGATTCAAACAAACATCTTGGAATCAAAACATGGGATGCATCCTAGCTTTGAATGCATGTCTCCGAGTTGTCTAATCTTCAAACACTGCTGCTGGGGGGTGGGGGGGGCATCGTAGTTTACATGATCATGCATATTCTTTAACATTATTTATAACAACGTTGGAATGTACACATGCAGTGCATGCCAACAAGAAGAAAAGATTCACGTCCTCTTTTCCCCCCTCTCGATGCTTTTGGGTGTCAGCAGTTTGCATGTGGCATCCCACATGATAGCCCACACTGATCCATCCTATCAAGAAGGAACAAAAAAGAATGACATGATAAGATGTTTGAGGTCACAGAGCTGATACTGTGGGCCACAGGCAACAGCCATGCCATCTTCCTCCTTCTGATGCATCTCACGCACCTCCAACCACTGACTATTTTAGTGGCCTTCCTCTGCTTCTCCATATATTCTCTGAAGTGCTTGTTGTTTTCTTCCTTCCCCTCCCCC